GGCAGTTTGTTTAACTATTATATGTGATGTACATTTTTTGGGGGCTGGTTAATGAAAGTGTTCCAAAATGCAACATTTTTTTCTTGATGACCTAATATATGTTATTTTAATTTCTTGTCACAAAGATGAAATTTTACATGTTATGATGTTTTTTTGGTGTCCTATGTGACATTTCTCTTATGTCTAGCTTAATGAGAGCTTTCATTCCTGCCTTTGGTATGTCCTCTTAATTTAGAATTTGAAAAGAAAAGACCCCCTGATATACCTATGGCATTGGAGGAATTCTTGAGAAGGATTGCAAAGACGGGTGATATTGCGTAAGTGTAAGCTAGTGGTTATATAATGCATATTTTCACATTATTATTCTGAATTTATATTTGCACTGATGTTCATATAGATTGAACTGAAGCAAATGCAAATTGTCAAGAAAAGTATATTTAATTAGATATACTCATTAAAAAGTATATTTAATTAGATATACTTATTAAAAAGTATATTTAATTAGATATACTTATTAAAAATATATTTAATTAGATATACTTATTAAAAAGTATATTTAATTAGATATACTTATTACTAGGTTGATTTTTAGTTTTGTACTAAGTATGTAACTTGATCTGATCAGAAGTATTAAATACAATATTTTACTTATTGGAGAAAGGGAGAGGAGAAATATTACAAATTAGATATAAGAACCAATGCAGAAGGAAAATAGCTTATCACCCTTCTAATAACTATCTTTAAGATGATCACTTACTTTATATAAACTGGTACTTTTAGTACCTATATTATTTTTTACAGCTAATTTTTTCTAAGTATTGAAAATATGAAATATGTTTGGTCACCTGTAGTTTTGATGACAAAGGAAGTGAGGCTAATGCACTTTAAGTCCTATAAAATGATAGGTTTGGTTATTTCTTTAGTTACATTTTAAAACAATATCTTTCCAGAAATGGCAGTTTTAGTGAAAGGTGGAGCATTTTCCCCACCCACTCCAAGAATATTAGAAAAACTTGACAATAACATACCTGTTAGATATACACTACTGTTTCTGGTTTCTTGTCAGTTGTGTTTTAAAGTAACTGAATCAACCTGTGTGGACTTTGATGAAAAAGAGACAATTATTTACAGCTCTGGATAAAACTGTGGTAACCAACAATGTAACAAACATTTGTATATTTGTATGACTTGTTTTAATATATTATTTTAAAACAAGTGGACTGTGTGCTGTTTGTCTATTGTTGAAATTTATCACCAACAAGTCACAGACGCCTACTGTAAAGAATCTAGCCTATACATAAAAAGCTCACAGTATCAGTTTTACACTTTTACTGTATTTCATGAAGCTACCGTATGATCCATTGCTAGGCCACATATTATTTCATTTTCACTTTATAAAAATCCAAGAGCTTCCAAGGGCCCTATTGACTTCTATATCTCCATAAGAATTTTAACCTTTCTGAAGTTAAATTTCAAATTGCAATTCTGATTTCTCCTCAATAAATTTCTATGTGTATTATGGAATATGAGCTGTAGATATCATATCAGCTCACTGAACCAGTTCTTTTATGAGTTGAACTTTCCCCTTTTCTGTGTGTAAAGCATTAGAGAAAACAATACAAACAAGATAGTAGGGATGGCACTTGAATCATCCCTACATAATAGTACAGACACACAGTGTATTAGAATGTTAACAGACAAAAAATAGGATAAACTCAGATGTGACTGAATAGTTTTATATATATATATATATATTGCTATATGTTAATTCTTTTCTGTGCTATTGTCTAGGGATGATGCAAATGCCATTCTTACTATCTTGTTTGCTATTGTTTTTGATGGATTGATATTAGCCATCCCTACATTTACTTCCTTTTTGTAAAAGTTTTTTTTTACTTGGGTTTTTAATGCAGTATTTCAATGGGCATAAGAAGGTTGTATTTACAAACAAGTTTTAAATACAAATAGGTTTCAACTGTAATATTTATTTTTATCTATTTTTAGCTGGTAATTCCTGTTTCACCCTGTACATAGGCTTCTTAAAAGAACACCAAATTTCTGTAAGAAAGCTAACTTCAAGCGATAATGATAACATCATTTACACAATAATTGTGATTTTTGTTTTTAATTACTACTAGTTATTAATAATACTTATAAAAGTGGATACTCCATTTGAAACTATGTCACCTCAGTAAAATTGGGTGACATCATTGTTTTTGCTTTTGAATTATCATGTAATGAAAAAGAAGCAAGAGAACAAGAAATTCCAATTTTTTTTGCTCTAATATTTACAGACATTCCCAGAACTTGTGACTTAGTCATTTCATAGATATAGTTATAAAAGGAAACACTGTATTGTATTGTAAAGTTCTGATGACCTGTTGAGGAGATATTTAAAACACCATTTCAATGAACAATCCGAGCCATCTCTACATAAGCAGTGCTACCATCTGCCTGATTAGAACTACAAGCTAGGCAATAGAATGCTTTTAGTCCATTAAAGCCACTGTCATTCTCCAAACAAGAAGAAAGGTAGGAAGTTAAGAAATTAATATAAAAGGGGGAAGGATAAATCTGTGCTTCATAAGGTGAAGGGAGGAAAATAATGGGTAGTGAGATGTGTGATAAAAAAAAAATCTGGTAGTAGTATAGTTAGGAAACATTTGCTGCAACTGAGTGAAACACATTTCAAATGGATATGTAGATGACTGAAATTCACAAGTTCTGGTTGTGGGAAACTTGTATTGTAGAGAAGAAACTATATTATGAATCAGAATGTCACATTCTATAAACTTGCTGTCTTTACTTGCGCTGTATGACCACTTGATATCCTCCTTTTCTCTATGTATTGTGTATATGAATATATAGATATATTTTTCTTTCCATATTCATTGCTATTTCTTCAGACATATAACACCTGTTTAGCTAAGTTTCAATGTTACATATGTTTTCATTAAAACATTTTAATCAACATTGTCTAATGGAAATTTCCAAATCAGAAACCAAAATTTGTAAAATTTCACTTGTGTTTTATAGATTTGAAGAGTAATTTCCTAAATACTGCCTATTATTTTCATTTCTCTAACAGGTTTATTTCTGTAAGATAGCACTGGATGAGTAGAACTAAAAGCATTTGCTTATTCTGTGCTGAGGTCTAGGATTTTGTAGATAGGACAAAGTTTAGTGGCAATTACTCTGTGGTACATGGTAATACAAAATGATGATAAAATACCATTTATTCTTTCTAGATCACTTCTGAACCCATGTAACTGTTTTCACCTCTCTTAATAGCTTATGTTATTGGAACAAGGTATCATTCTCTGCATCATTTCAGAAAGATTACTGTTCTTCCTATAAAGAAAGAGACTAAAATTAAACATTATTCTAAATAAGCTTTACTCTGAAAATATTAAAAAATGACAGTAAGAATCTTATTCTTGTGCTCATACTTTTATAGAGACCCAGAATACAGTTATCTCTAGTTGCCATAGTCTGTCTTATTTGAACACTTACCCATATTTTTTTCCTTCTCCATAATACAGATGCACTCCTCACACAACAAGTAAGCTCTGTTTTTTTACTTTCCTGAATCCTAAATGTAAAGCTCTACACTTGTCACTAAAGAAATGCATATCAATATACTTAACCACTCACTATGTATGTCAAGATTTTTTCTGGATCAAAACAACATTCTTGACAATATAATTATCCCCATTAAATAAGCTTCAGCAAATTTCTGTATATTTTTTGTAATAGTTATTTTTTTACTAATAATTTATACAGGTAATAAACAGTAAACCCTGAGGAGCCTCAGTAGTCATGGCCATCCTAACAGAGAATTCCCCATTATTTTCTAAGTTAGTAGTAAGAATTGTGGTGATAACAGAACAAGTGTTGGATATTATCTTGAATTTCAGAAAGTCTCTGATAAAGTACTGTACAAAAGATTATTTGCTAAGATATGGAATAAGTAACAAGATTAAAAAGTAGTTGTAAAATTATTAGGGTTCTACAAAGATTAATAAATAATCGACTTACTGATTGGTTGGATAGGAATATTTAGGTTTCTCAAAGTTCTGCCTAGGGACTTTTATTATTTAGTATTTATGAAATTATGTTATTAATAGGAACAAAAATGGGCTTTGAATTAGCAACATTAAAAAGTTTCTAAACATATATTAAGTTCCTGAGAAGGTTGATACTAAAGAGAATGTTGTTTGAAGCAAAAGGATCTTGACAGCTTTATAGAGTTAGGTGAGTGGTTTTGAATAGAATGATTATTGAAAAGTTCAAGGCCATTCAATCAGGAGACAGAAACTTGGGTAGCACATAATTGTGTTGCAACAAGATGCGAGTGGTATTTTTAGATTAGGAAAATAATATGGATGTGATAATAGAGGAACGCATATATTGTAAAGCACTTGACTGAGTGTCTGGTTGTGGTAACTAAAACCAACCATGTTCCATCTGTAGAAATCTTAAGTTAAAGAATAAAGTTGTCATGATCTTGTTTGAATTATTATTATAGGAACTAGCAAATAGCCTGTCAAAATGACTGGGAAAGTACTACCACCCCTCTCCTCATATTTCATAACTAGCTGAAATAAATAAATTTTGTGAAATCTATAAACAGGGAGAAAAGTGCATTGAAGTAGTCAAACATTGGTAAATTCCTTTATGAGCCAATCAAAATTAAGATCATTCATGAAATGAATTTGTGACATATTCATAAAATAATTATTGGAAAAAATCAGTTAGATTAACAATTTCTTATATATAGAAAATCCAGTGCATTTTGATATACAATGTTCCAACAATGGCTTTTATGTCATGTTGCTTAGCAACAACAGTATAACCTAATATTGTTGTTAGTCTATGTACTGAAAGTATAAAATGAAATGTATAGACAATAAAACAGGAAAAATATTTGTTGATTTCTTAATTTAGAGTCTTTGTTGATTAAAGATGTATGTTTATTTATTGATAAAGTTGGTGACATAGCAGAAAAAAGCTTAATTCAGAAATGATTTAAGTTTAAAATGGAATCAATATTTTTACTTTAATGGTAATTTTTATGCACTTCGTGCTAGGCTAGATGATTTCATGCTATGTATTTACTTTGGGCTTATTATATCAATACTCACTATACTTGTAAGGTTTCATGGCACCCCTGTCCCTCATGGCCCCCCTTCACTAAAATCTTAATGGTGGACAGCAATTGAACTATTCTATCTGGATAAATGCATTTTGGCTTTTATGACTCCTCCTCTTTTGAGAAATCAAGCAAGATGTGACACACTGGCTTTTATATAGGTTT